ACCTTAGTTTTGATGGCTAAATTAATAAGCTTTAAATCCACCAAAAATAACACTTCAAATTAAATTTTTTTAAACCAACGATTTTTAAAAACAACAAAACTCATCAGCTTAGACTTTAGAATCACAAACCAAAGCATTAGTTTAATGCTTTCCAGTAGGCTTTCAAGAGTTAATGAACTTAACAAGATTTAAAGCAACAAATCTAATTTTTTGAAATAAATAAAGTGAAAACGCCAACAATACGTACTGTTGCATCTTAATATATACTTCAAAATACTAGGGGCCATATTGAACCAGCGTTCAACAAAAGATTTCATATTATAATCATCTCACACTACTTTCTTTCCAAAATAAAGTCATGTGATAGCCAAGTCTTGTTTCTACACAATTTCAAACAAATATAAATTTTATTTTGTATCAGAAGAAAGTATACATGATAATTGTATAACACCTGCAAACTTAAAATGTAGGATGACAGAGAGGGGTTGAAAAAGAAAGGGTTTGGTACAAATTAAATCAACACTATGAACTACATTAGGTATAAGAATTAATTTCATGATGCCAACTTGCTATTGTTTTTATGAACTTTTGTTTTAAAACCATGTGTGCAATTAATCTTTTCTATTTTATTATACTGAGTGCACCCCCTTTTTCGCTCGTCTGCGACAATATTCACCAATACCGAGTTTGTGCGTTTATGACTTGCTTAATGCATGGAAGAATTAGATTGATTTCTCATGGCTTCACACAGAAGGACTTGTAAATGATTTAAGTTATTCCCTCGAAAATGATGGTCATATTTGAATTTTTATTTTTAACATAAATTTTATTAAAAATAAAAAGTTATATCAGCTGCAGTTATTTTAGGATAAAAAGAGTACAAGTTTCTTTGACTTTAAGAAAAAAGAAAGTCTTGTAGCAATAAAATTCGCATATGCAATGTTCTATTTTTGTACATAATACATATACCATATGGAGAGAATAATGACAAACTAATTATCATTCAAACCAAATGTATCTTTTCTCAAAAAAAGCATACTCCAAATATATTTTAAATAATTCAAACTCCTTACTTAGAAACAATGTTAAAAAGATCAACTCATCGAGTTAAAGTTTACCAATTAGCTAGGCAAAAATATTGTGATCATCATGTTGTTATGTTGTCGTCATGATGATATGTGTTCCAAAGTTTCTTTAGTTGATACTTTAATGCGACTAGTTGTGTTCATACGTTGTTTATTTAAACAATTGACGCTTAAACGTGTGTTAATCTCTAATCAGTTTATTAGCCAACACTTGTTTTTCTAATTTTGTTACCAATTAGCTAGGCAAAAATATTGTGATCATCATGTTGTTATGTTGTCGTCATGATGATATGTGTTCCAAAGTTTCTTTAGTTGATACTTTAATGCGACTAGTTGTGTTCATACGTTGTTTATTTAAACAATTGACGCTTAAACGTGTGTTAATCTCTAATCAGTTTATTAGCCAACACTTGTTTTTCTAATTTTGGTTGATTACTTTGAATTTAATTTCTAGTGAACCAAATGGGTTATGATCTACTTGATATATGGCTTCTCAAAGTGATAGAAAAGAATTAAAGAGAAAAGGATTTCAAATAGTCATTCCCAATATTTTATAGTCTTCTGTCCTTAAAAAAAAAAAAAAAATCCAAACTGAGTTTTGATAATTATAACACTTTTTATAATAATATAGAAACTTAATATAAACTATTTTTTTAAAATAAATAAATGTAGTATTTTCTAAAATGACACATACATATTCTCTCTTCGTCAAAAAGTTATTCTTCTTCCTTTCTTTTTTCCCTTTAATAGGACCACTTAGATTTGTGTGTGTTTCAGTTGTCTTTATTGCATGTGTGTTGTCTGATTTTCAGCGGTTTGCCTAACATCAAGAATCGATCAAGTTCAAATTAACTGTATCAGTTTAAATTAATCTGAAATCAATCGTCAGAATTACATGCACAAAATCAACAAACTGTCCTATATAAGAGTTAACTATTCACCAGCAAACCAATGTTATTGTCAACGTGTACAATTAGCTCCGTCCAAGCACACTGAAAACTCGAAGTACTGGTTTGGTGGTAAAAATATGTTCTTAATTTAATTCCTGGTCTACATAACTAAAATATTTATTGCAAGAGTTTTTGTTTGAAAAAGCCTACTTAATTGATTCGAATCTAAATTAGGCAGAATAATAATTTCAAATATGAGCGCATAAAAGAAACCCAAACTTTAAAATAGTGACTCTCTAATATTACTTTAAAAGATTCTAATCTAAAATTGTAATGGAAGGACGGAATAACCCGATTATTAGTATCTGGACATTTAGAGAAACGTATTATAATTAGGGCTTTCATACTTGCAGAAAGTGTTAATCTAATAATTAAGTCTTTTTCTTTTTTCTTTAAATGTACATTTAATTACGAGGGACAGCGATTAGGTCCGATTGTAAACAAAATTCATTTATATTCTCTAATGAAGAACTCTTGCTTCAGAATTCGGGGAAAAAGAAGAAAAGGAATGATCATTTTTACGCATAAACATAACATCTCACGGGTGAGAATAATCTCTTATTATACTGTGCTAGTTTAATAAGATGCCATTGAGAGGGGAAACGTATTTCTGTTTTTTACTCTTTGTCCTAAAAAAATATCCTATCGAGTTTGAAATTTGTACTATTCCATGCCTTCCAGAAAAATAGTCCAGTTTGAAAATGTACAACTTTTTAATTTGTTCAACATATCAAATGTACAACTCATTTTATACCCTTAATTTCCACTAATGCCTCTTCTAGTTATTTTTATAAAAGTTAACTACATATGGCATTTATTTTACAACTTAAATTTGACCAAATATTTTATCTTAAAAAATATTAAAAATAGATCTTGATGGAAAGATCTCGTTACATAGATTAATTTGATATATAACATAATTTTTAATTATTCATGTATTAAAAGATATAATAATTTGAAAAAATAGAAAAAAAAACCAAAAAAAATAAAAATCAAAGAAAATGGACCTTGTTTTCCTTACCACTACTCTTTTAGATATTTAAGTCATTTTAATTCAATTAATTTTTACTTTTGTGAAACTGAATTTTTTTTGGGGACAAACTTTTTTATTAAAGTGGACTATTTTTGTAAGAAGTACAATATAATTATATCACCCTCGATACAAATTAATTATTTTTTTTTTTGGTACGAAGAAATTTTCTATGCATAAATGTACACATATAAATTTAACCATCTCAAAAATCGAAGATGGTTTCCAATGCCCTTTGACGTGGTGCTGTGACTCTCTCTATAAATTCAAGTCTTTGACTTCAATAAGTTTGCATCGTCAAAACATACGAAGTCAAATGCGCGGCCAATGAGTTGGGGAAACTTTGTCCGCATTCGGAAGACTCCCCACCCCCAAAGCGAACCCTTTTGTAGACATTATTTTAACGTCGTTATGCATGTTAGGGCCGCAAAACTAACATTTAAAAAGAATGGAAATTTTAAAACATTTTGGCCTAAATTAATCCATCAATCCTCAAAACCGTCCTCCTGCTGCTCTCCGGCCAGTTATTCCGTCCTCCTACAAATGTAAACGAAGAGAAATAAAATAGAAAAAAAAAGAGAAATAATTACTTTTATCAATCAATAGCGAACTTCCTATACAGATAAACGAAAAAGGCCAATTCAAACACAAATTGACCATCAAATTAAGTAACATTAATAATATTTTTTAGTTACAATATAAAAATCAGAATTCAGTTTTCGATTTCTTAAAATTACATCGTTATGGGTAGAAAACTAGAGAATTCATATTATATCACTGAATTTTTTTCCTCATTTATTCATTTATAAGTGAAATATTGAAATTTCTAAATAATACAATTCTAATATATACAGTAAAAATTCTCGAAATTAATTCTTTATAAATTAATCAAATCTATTAAATAATAAATTTTTTCGGTCCAAACTCAGGACTAGTGCAAGATTTTTTAAAAAACAATTGATAAATAATAAAATAATAATTTTAAAGAACTTCTTATATAAATATTGGTCCCCTAAAAATTATAAATTAGTAATGAGAAAAAACTGAGAAGGTTTAAGGAGATAGAGACAATTGAGTTTTGCTTTTTCTTGAAATTTACATATGAGAAAATTTCATCTATGATTTCCCTCCAACCCATAAGTATGATAACATGATCATAATTACATACGGAAAGTAAGTTTGAAGTTGAGGTTTGCATCCTTAGATTTTGTACTATAAATACTACGTAGCAAAACTTCAGCTAAAAAAAAAGTTTGAAGTTGAGCATTTTGTTTCCTAATAGAATTAAAAAAAACTTTAAATTAATAAAAATATTAATTTATTAATAAAATAATAATTATTAGTTTGTCGATAGAAAAATAATCTCTATAAATTAATAAATTTTTATGGACCAACACTATTAATTTATAGAGTTTTTAATGTATAATTAAATAGAACGACATAAATAATAATATCAAAAATCGTTTCAAACTAAATATCAACAATCAATGTATTCAGATCAACAATCAATGCATGCATTCCTCGTATTGTTGTAATGAAGAAACTTGTATTTAAAAAAAAAAAAGAAAGAAAAAAAGAAAAACCCTGATAGAAGAAGTATAAGATGGCGCTCAAAACTTAGTTTGCACATATACATCTTACATGGAGAATTAATAATGTCTCAATTAACTAATACACAGATCAAGTGCATCGTCAATCTTATATTGTAATATTGGCATCATAATTACCCAATTTAAATTTGCTTCATCACTAATTTCAACAGAAATTTAGACCTCTAAATAAATAAATAAAATTGTTGTTTGAAAGTTCCAAGCCAGATTTATAAAAACGGTACAACTCAAACAAAGTACTAATGGAACGATCTAATTAATTAAGTTAATGAATAATTTCACTGAGTATGTGAGAAATTAAAAATCTTTGATAATTTGAAAGTAGGCATTATATTACAATTGCAATCTATCTTCCAAATTAAGTTCTAAGATATATACGTCAAAATATCAGAATATGAGACAGAAAATAATACAGGAAACTAGGACTCATGATATTGGGAGCTTGATTGGGTCCTAAAATATTCATAAACCCCAATAAAATCTTTGTTTTATGGTCAATATTAAGCTCTTTGCTTTGAACATTAATGCCCAAATCCCTGTTGCTTTTTGCCGGATCATGACATTTGAGCAAGTTGATGTACGTTTCCAAACCATGAACACAAGATGGATTATCCATCTTGAAGAAATCAAGCATCAATTCAACTCCCACATGAACATAACATGAACAGCTCCAAGGGAGATCGTACCGATCCGCGAAAACCTTAAAACCCTCGTTGAAAAACACCCCAGGAAGTTTCGTTATGGGATCCTTAGCATTCACGATCCTCAAAACCTTCACTCCCAACTCTTCAAAACGTTTTTTGAAGCCCGAGTTCCCGACCCGCGGCCCTCCAAACGAGAAAACCGTGACGGGAACACGAGCGCTATCGTTTTTAACAACCTTATTCAGCCCTAATTCAGAAATATCATAAGCTCGTAAATGTGCAAGAGCGCTCCCCATACTATGACCCGCTATTGTTATACTCATTTCCTCATCTTTGTACAAATTTAGTAACCTAGAAATCTCCGAAAGGAGCTGCTGACGGCAACTCGGGAGCCCGAATTTCAACTCCTTCTCATTTGATGTGTACAAGCTGAGGAAACCCGCCTCCACCTTAACATCGAGGCGAGGATGATGAGGATCAAGACGAGCTGGAGTTAAAGAACTCATCAAGTTTACCAACCATTCGAGATTAGTTACCGTACCTCGAAAACTAATCATCAAATCTCTCCTTCCCAACTTGAAGCTTTCTTCGTCGCTTGAGACTGCAATGTAGCCAACCCATTTCCCACAACATGAGGGACTCATGTTTTGGATTGGAGGGATGATGTTAATCTCGGGAGTTGCGTAAATGTACTTCGTTACTTCATAACCTGAATCTCCCAAACCAACCTCTTGCAATAAGCTTGATTTGCCATACTTGCAGTTCAAGTATCTTTTTGAGTTGGGATCAAGATCAAATGCCTTGTAACATGCAAGAACAAACTCTCCATATCGAATGATCTCGTCCCGAAGAAGCGAATCCAAGGGTTCCATTAGGTTTTCCCAGTTGTTTAGCCCTTGAATTTTTCTCCATACTCTACCCAATTTCATGCAGCCATTCGAATAATTTGCAACTTTGTTCATGGCTTCCCTTTGCTTCTTAGCTCCATTTTCCATTTTAAGCAGCTGTGGGAATGGAAGTTTCTTGTTCATGAAGTTTCTTGTACAATTGACATTCGCATTTGGAATTCTTAGAAACATAATGTTGGTTGCCATGGAAAATTTGGCTTCAAAATTGAAGAACCAAAGGCGGATTAAATGGAAGGAATGTTGGGTTGAAGATCAAATTAGAATGATCGATCGATTAAAGTATATATATGCATCGGGAGGTTTGCGGGATTTTATTTAATATGAACTGGCTGTAAGGAATCCAAGCAAGATTGCCTTTTGTTTGGCAAGAGGTTTGACTTTCAAAACCACTGTTGTTAATATTAAATCAATTGATTGGTCGGTTATGCTCGACTGTACGTACATGTTGGCATTTTTTTTCATTTGTTTTAATGTTTAATGCCTGCGGCTCTAACATTACACATACGTCATCACTTTAAATTAGTGTCAACAAAATGGTTCTCTGAAGGGCTGTAATTGGTTTTTTCTGTTTTCCAATTATCCCACTCATTGGCCACGTATTTGACTTCAAATTAAGACTCGAGGGAAAGCTAATAGACTCAATTTTCTTAGCACATCAAAGAGTAATAATATCAAGATTAGGAGTTTGCGGTCTACGTGCATAATGTGGACACGCATGAAATTTGAGAAGGGATGTTTACGTGAAAAAAAAAAAAGAACACCTTTTATTTCACTTAATCACATCACCATTTGTTTATGAACAGTTTAGGGGAATAGTTGATGTAATGGGCGGAGATGTAAAGAAGTACTTTGTCAATTAGGCAGGTAATCGTCTATGTGTCATTCAGAAAGGGTTTTTAGGGTTATATTATACTATACAATTTATTCGTTTTTAATTAAAGTATAAACAAAATACAAATAGATTAAATTGAATTTATAAAAATCCTTCAATTCCACAAACCATTTACTATATTTCATCATATCATACATTAATATTAACGTTAATTACCACACTTATTCATTATATCAAAGAAACACATATTCCGATCATAAAATTTATAAAAAAGATTGTCCGGCTTTTTTATTCACGCAACTATTTGCAAAATTGAAACTTTAATTATTATGACTTCATCTTGATTTATTTCTTTACATGTATAAAATATTAGTATATATCCAATTATTGCTTGATTAAAATTAGTTTTGTTTCTTAATGCATTTTATTAGTTAGTATTAGTTTGTTTGGAGTATCTAAGTATGTTTTATTAATTTTTTCTTCTTTTTTGTTTGAAAAAGTAAGAGCATGAGGAAATTGTTTGGAATTGCACCTTAAGTGTAAACTATGTAATTTAATGTAATTTTTTGAAACTATTATTTTACTTATAAAAGATTTATTTTTCTCTGCCAAAAAATAGAGAATCAACTAAGATGATCATCAAATTTTACTCTTACATTGCCTATATCTTTTATATGCCTTCTATTTAAAACTTTTTTTTAGATACAAAGAGAGTAATTTTTATAATCTATTTTCAAATTAAGCAACTCTCGGGATAAAATATTTTATGCTAATATAAAAAGCTTTAACCATCCGGGTAACAATTCCGTCCTACCCAAACAGTTTTGCGAGGTCAATATCAGACAAATGGTTCTTTTAAATAAATTTAACCAGCTGGCTATTTTACCCCCTTTTTTTTTCCTTCTATCTGTCTCTTTCTAATGCCACCGGCTTCTTTCTCCTATTTGATACTCTCTCTGATCATTAATTTAATACACAAAAAACTATTATCTTGGTTCTAAAAAAATAGTTAACATTAAATTTTAAGAGTTAATTAATTTTAATAGAAATTTGATAACTCAGTGTGAATTTTAGTACATTATGAGGATTCTCTAAGATTAATAAAATTAGATGAATGATTAAGTTTTAAAGTACATTATGAGGATTCTCTAAGATTAATAAAATTAGATGAATTATTAAGTTTTAAAGGATAACGAAAATTTTATTTTTAAATAACTACCTACATTCATGTTAAAAAGTTTTCACACTCCCTAGGCAAATATATAAAACACCAATTAAATCAAAGTTTAATCAACTTCAGTTGGGCTATTTTTAAATAACTACCTACATTCATGTTAAAAAGTTTTCACACTCCCTAGGCAAATATATAAAACACCAATTAAATCAAAGTTTAATCAACTTCAGTTGGGCCGCAGATTGAAGTACACAAGTATCTTAAAATTATCAAATATCTTCTAAACAAGACTAATAGAAATATTTAAAAGTACCTTATAATAAGAATGGCAGGAATATTATTTTCAAAATCAACATTAGGTATTTATACTTTTATATGTAAATTTGAGTTTTCAATATGGTAGGACCCTAGGACGGAGGTAAATATTAGAAAACGACTGTAGTATATATATATATATATATATATATATATATATATATATGTATATATAAATTATTAATTCATTAGTTTGTTATTCCTCTATTAGTACTATCCGCGTTGCGTAACCAGCACTTTTTGGGATTTTTTTCTTTGTTCTTATTCAAGAAGATATATTTAATATTGTGGTCAATATTATGTCGAATAGTTATGGTCAGCACTATATTTTTGCTCTCTTACGGTCGTACACTTGAATTGGATTTTTTGTTGAACTCTATTGGGAGAAGGAGATATTATAAACATATCTGCTGGAATTTATTTTTAAATCAACTTGAATCGATTAATTAAAACAGTAACATCCATATTATAATTTTTAATGATAAAAATGCTATAAAATTGCAAATCTCTTATTTATGGAAACTTTTATTCTTGTGTGGGCAGCCTTTTAAAGGTAAAAGAAAAAAATATTTGGGCAAATTATCTGGTACACCCGGGAATACGGTGTCCCCCCATGCGCGTGTACCTCACTCTCTTACAATAGCGTTAGTAAGCCATTATAATTCAGCTTTCTTTTTCTTTTTTTCTATTTTTTTAAACGCGGGGATATATAAATAACCGAATTCATTCAAATTTGTAAAACTTTGTGATAGAGCATTATTGATTGGAGATGGCCGGCGACGATCGAGGCGTTGAGGCGGCAATGGGAGTCGGCGATCGTGGCGTTGAGGTGGACTCGGCCAGCGGCGATCGAGTCGTTGAGACGGCGACGGCGTTCAGCGATCGAGTCTCTGAGACAGCGACGGCGTTCAGCGATCGAGGAAAGGCTCCGATTCCACCAGAGTGGCGAAACGGTAATTGGATTGACAATATGCTTAGTTCAGATCGAGTGATGAGTTATGTCGTTGATAATTCCGTCTTGATGAATGCGGAATGTAATGGTAGAAAATCCATCGAACAACCTTACTGTGCCAGTAAATCAACGCAAGGTCACAGTTCTGTTGTAGATCAGCTGGAATCAGGTAATCAATCAAGTTTTTTCCACAGTTCTATTTTTGTTAATATGAACTGGATAAGCGATTATCTTGTGGTGGATATCCAAACTGTTTTTCTTGGATATCCACGTTGTTGTCTTGGATATCCACTTATGTGTACTTGGTTATCCAACCGATACACATGCGTATCCAAATTTTATTTGCTCGATATCCAACATTTTTGAGTTGTTTATATTGAATTGGTGTTTTTCACGGTTCGGAGTGTACTGTTTGTGAGAGAATAATCAATCTAGTTTTTCACGATTCTGTTTTTGTTAATGTTATATGAAGTGGATAAGCGGTTATCTTTGTGTTGGATATCCAAAATATTTGTCTTGGATATCCACTTTGTTTGTCTTGGATGTCCACTTATGTATACTTGGTTATCCAATCGATTTACATACGTATCCATACATGCATACAAGCTTAGTTTCATGGAGAGTCTATCTGGGATAAAGGTTTGTTTGACACTATTGTTGAATGTATGAATCTGCATATATCAAGTTCTTGCTCTCTACATTTATGGTATTAGGATAGTTGCCTGTTGATATCCAACTGATTTTTTGTTTTTCTGTTTGTCCCATTTTTTGTAAAAGAGCATATCAATCAGTTGGGGGATGATGTGATGCTGGATGATGCTTTGTGCATGGAAGTTACATCTGCTCTGAAGGGTGGGTTTTCTAACTTGCTTATATGGTTTAAATTTTTTTTTCTGATTTGTTTATCCAGTGTTAATACTGATTATCCGACTGCACGGTAATGGTTATCCAACCATCTCTTTTTGTTTTTTCTCAGAATGTGGAGAAGGTAATAGCGGCAATGAATTGGGAGTTGATAATGTGATGTTGGAGGAGGATGCCTTGCACAAGGAAATTTCATCTGTGACGAAGAATAATGATTTGGCTGTTTTTACTTTAGTTGGTAAGCCGGCAAGAAGTGAGAAAGAAGCTTATGATTTATATAATGATCATGCCCGATTGATTGGTTTTAGTGTGAGAGTGGGAAAACAGAAGTTTAGAGGTAAGACTGATAAAGTTAGGATGAAGAAGTTCTGTTGTAACCGCGAAGGATACAAGAGATCCAGTGGAAATGGTGATGTATGCCATGAGAGGGTTAATTTTATTGTGGGTGCCCACTTATATCCAGTTCTTTGTTGACAAAGATGGCTTGTGGACTGTACAAAGCATCGGTTGATCACAATCATGATCTTGTGCCGAATGAAATGATTGGACTTCTTCGATCTCAACGTGAAGTAGATGAAAATGATATGAAGATAATCAGAGACATGACAAGGAGTGGCATCCCTTTGGTTGATGCATTTAAGTTTGTGGCAAAATTACACGGGGGAAGCCCGAACATGAAATATACTTTGAGAGATGCCTACAATTATGAGCGTCCTGCTGTTGGATTTGAAGGTGGGGATTGTAATCAGCTCATGAAGATTTTTTGGGACAGGAAGGAAACTGAAGAAGATTTCTTCTTTGATTTTGAGTGTGATGAGCAGGGTAGGCTGTGTATTTTCTTCTGGAGGGATAGCAGAATGCGAAAGGATTATAATTTGTTTGGTGACTTGCTTGTGTTTGATACAACATATCGAACAAACAGATATGGGATGATCTGTGCTCCATTTGTGGGTATGGATAATCATAACAAGAATGTCATGTTTGGTTGTGGTTTTGTGTTAAACGAGAAAGAACCCTCTTTTGATTGGTTGTTCAAGCAGTTTTTGAAATCAATGGGAGATAAACAGCCACAAACCATAATGACAGATCAAGCACCTTCCATTGCTGCAAGTATTCGGACATGTTTTCCAAGTTCTAGGCATCGTCTCTGTGTATGGCACATAGGTGAAAATTCAAGAAAGCGAATTGGTCATTTAAGGAACAAGCCAGATTTTGTTAAGAACTTTAATTATCTGGTGAAATACACTTCAACAGAAATCGAGTTCGAGGTATTATGGAAGAGGTCAGTTTGACAATATTTTTATTATTATTTTGATCATTTCCATGATTAAGAGTGTCTCTTATTTTTTTTGTTGTGTGGGTATGTGTTTGTTAGTGGTCATGCATGATCTTCCTGATGATTACTTATAGGTAGGTACGTTGTGTGGTAGGTACATTATAGAAGCACAACTTAAAAAAGGCATGGATAACTAGTTTACAGATTGTGGATAACCAGCCATAATGTTTGGATGACTAGTTTACAGATTCTGGATAACCAGCAACTATGGTTGGATAAATAGTTTTTAGCCATTCTGGATAACCACCCCTTATGGTTGGATAACTAGTTTACATATTATGGATAACCAGCAATTATCTCTGGATAACCACCCGTTATGGCTGGATAACTAGTAGAAAGGCTTTCTTGGCTGGATAACTATATGGATAATCTAACTATTTTTCTTTTTATGCATGTGTTTTATTTTGTTGTGCACTGATTATTGGATGAGTATGATTGTCATGATGACAAATGGCTCAGTGGTATTTATGATGTGAGGCATATGTGGTGCCCTGCATTTAGCAAAGATTTTTTTTCTGGTGGTACCTTGTCTTCACAGAGGAGTGAGTCAACAAATAATGCAATTTGTCGTAAGATGAAGGCCACATCATCGCTTTGTGATTTCCATGGAATTTTCTCGATGTTGTACACTTTGTTGGCGGGTAGTCGTGAGGGGTGAAGATCTACGTTGTAGCCAGGGAAACATCGATTCATATCTTCCCGGTGACCCTTTTCTGGAGAGCATTCACAAAGTGTACACAGTTGAAGCATTCCGGGAGGTTCAGCAGTTGCACAAAGATGGGATGTTGTGCAGGCAGGAGCAGGTAGAGGTCTCAAATGATGGCAATACTGTGACGTACCATGTTTGGCGGTTTGGGATAGAGCACTTTAAGTACGTGGTTGTACATGATACTAGGTTACAGAGATTCTCATGCACATGCAGGTACTACTCTGAGGCGGGCATGCTTTGTTGCCACATTCTTCGGATCTGTCACGTAACCTCTGTTGATGAGTTTCCTAAAGATTATATATGTATGAGATGGACAAAAGGTTATGGTGCCGGTCAAGCATAGCTAATGAGGAGATGGAAAAGTCTTGGCCCATTCTTTGTGGAAGGCACTAATTATGAGACGATTTTCAGATTTGGTGTATGCAAGTGAATATAACAAAGATGCAAAGAAATGTTGTGATGAGGTTGTTGATGAGCTTAAAGAAGAACTCGGCAGTTTCATTGGTTCAAATAATAATGATGAGTCGTAGACAATGATGGTGTTATAAAGAATCCATTTGTAAAGAGGAAGAAGTTTGGTCCCGAGAACGAACGTCCTAAAAGCATTCTTGAGAAGGCATGTAACAAAGTCAGAGGTAGGAAAACAAATGCAAAAATTGCTGCAGACCGAACAAGAGCTTCAGTTGCATCAGACCTGCATTATCAAAGCATGCGATTTCCTTATCCAAAGGGAGCTGCTCAACATTTTACAGGCTCAGGAAGTTTTGCTGCTCTGAATGCTTCTCATCAAAGCGTGCCATCTTTGAACGTAAATTCCAGTGGACTCTCATTTGCTAATCCAAGCAGAGCTGCCCAGCATTTTTCATGGGCAGGGGCTTCCACTTCTATGAATGCTTCTGATCAAAGCATGCCGTTCATCAACCAAAATTCCGGTGGATTCTCATTTCCAATTCCCAAGGGAGGTAGCCAGGAGTTTCAAGGCGAAAGCACTTCCGCTGCTGTGAATCCTTCTCATCAAAACATGACATTCATGAATGAAAACTTTGGTGGTTTCTCATTTCCTAACCGAAGGGAAGCTGCCAGGGAGGCTGGAGCGCAGCGTTTCTTCAACAAGATGTTTTATTAGTATTTTAACTTGATGTTGAAATGAACAGTATTGATGCCGTAAAGATTTTTATTTAAAAAGTATTATTTATTTTAAATTGCAGTATTATACAACCAGTTTTAACTGGTTATCCATTTAGTTTGTACTGGTTATCCTAGTGGTTATTTTAAATTGGTTATCCGTTGTGTTCATGGTGATTATCCAACCAGTTTGGACTGGTTATCCAAGTTGTCTGTACTGGATATCCATTTTGTTTGTAGTGGATATCCATTTCGTTTTTCTTGGATATCTAACTCTTTGTACGGATATGCAACTTTAAATGCATATAAATATTACGAAAAACACATGAACACGTTGAAGACGGATAACAAGTATAATCTCATGGATAATCGGGTTAAAGATCGTAGTTGTATTTTTTTACTTGGATAATCACAATAAAACATTCGGATAATCAGGTTTAACAAGATGGATAATTGGTACAATGATCATGGATAAACATTACAAACGGTTGGATATTGCTGCACATTGGCTGGATAACCAGTACAAAAGTCCTGGATAAGCAAGATAACATCATAGGATAAGCAGTTTAATAAAGAAGTAGAAAGACCAAGAAATTGGGACACTCAATTTTTATTTTTTCTTGCAATTTACAGAAATATTTGGAGAACCAAAATACATTGGATAACCAGCATAGATAATCTGGATAATTAGTACAAAGTCCTGGGATAACCAGTAATATCATTAGATAACCAGTACAAAGTCCTAAAAGTGTGTTAATGTTTCCCAGAAGTAACATGCTCTAATGATGAAACTGGTTTCTAGATCCGGCGATATACTTGAGTGTGTGATTTTCCTGGTAGGAACACTATACAACAACAAATAACGATTATCGTATCCTTTTACAATGAATTGTCCTGCTGGAGATGATTTGTGGCTAAGAACACTGGATAAAGCCAATCATGACGGAAATGTAATCCCTGTGGAACGTGCGTGTTCACATTTGGGAATTCATGGGTCTCAAATATGCAATCCCATGTGGAAGTATCTGGATCCCATGCCCACATCTCACAGTGATGATTCTGAGTAATCTCGTACTCATCTATTACACACATAGTCCCCTGGAAGTCCAATATTTTCACTTGGAGATTCATATGGGAAGGATAAGTGGGGTTAAAGAAGGTTGGAGATGGAGGGCAGTTTATGGGTTGGAATTGTTGAGTGTGGTAGTCAAACACAACCAACAACTCTTGAGGTGTTGCTATTTCAGAGGATAGTTTGTCTACACGCCAGTACACGAATCTATCAAACCAGATTCCATTAGATACAAGGCGAGGACATACATTGCAAAGTGTTTTCCATTCCCCTCTATGAATTCTTGAACAACTTTGAAAAGAAAAAATGCAGCCTTGCATGTTTTTTCCATCGGCAATTAGGGCCATGAAAACGTAAGTTTTTGAGGATGATACGTACCCAAATGCTGTTTCACAATTGCTGAGAGGGACATCATATGGCCATTCAACTGTTGCAAGTTGTGTTGTCTTTGGGTTCAAGAATTTGATTTGAGAGCTGGTTTGCAGACAGATCAAATCTGTGGTGATAGGCATGATTTTATGGATGCCGTCGTCACCCATCGACATCTCTTCTTGAAATCGTATGTGGTTGCATGGGTTATCCATTTGCACTTTTATGTTGGTGGCGATTAGTTTGTCTTGCAACAGGTGATCTTCTTGGCTTGTTTGAGTGAAAACAAGGATGTTGTTTTCACTTGTAGGGTAGCTCATCTCACGTTTTTGAAGAACAAATTCCTGTCTTTTCGTCATTTCCTCCCAAGCTTTGTTGACACGACGGAACTGTCCAATCTTTTCCAATGACAGATTAATGAACATTTTATCAAGCATATCGTGATGGATATATTCATGATAGATGGGGGACATTTGTTTGGTGCTGGAATTTGAGGAAATTTTTTCGTTTTTCATTTTTTTCTGGCTGTTGGAAGTTTTGGATGCTCAAATCAAGCAATCTGATGTATGTGCAGATGAAGGAGTTTTAGCCCCAGGTGGAGATCAAGAAACTCATTTAATGACAGTTATGTAAAAACGTGTGGCTCTGTAACTACCCATTAGATCATGGTGGATGTACTATGCACGAACACGAGCATTTTCAGT